CCCGGCTCCGGATTCGTCGAAATTACAGCCGGTTCGGGCCCAAAAACGACCAGACCAGCCAGATGGGGCTATAAAAGAACGAGAAGCGTCTTGTGGAAGCTCAAATCCTGTGCTGTCAAGTCTAGGACTGCCCGCATTGGCAAGAATTCCAGGCCAAACTGTGTGCTCACATTTGTTTACAAATGTGAACGTAGCAGCTAATACACAACCTATAAAAACATGGAGGTCTCTTTGAGAATGTGATAATGGTAGTGTTTATTGGTTGGAAAAATATTAAAACAATATTTTATTTTATTTTTTAAGATTTATTTTTTATATTAAACGACCTAGAAACAAAAACAAAAGGATTAATTTATAACTAAAACAAAATTAAAAATTTTAAGACATGATTGGACAGTGATAACAAACAGAAGCACGAAATGCAAAACCCATGAAGGAAAATCCAGAAAATAGCAAGAATGCCGGAAAATAGCAAGAATTCCTCCGGCATTCTTTTAGGTTGTTCTTAGAAGAAAAAAATGGTGACTTGATGAGAAAATAGGATCAGAATGTGAATTAGTAACTAGATACAAACATGAGCCCATAGAAAACGTTGTTGAGATTGGGTAAGGTGAAAAGATTGGGACTTTTCAGCAAAATGAAGTTAAAATTCAAAAACTCTTTAAGCCTAACAAAGAAATGAGTACTTGACCACAAAATGAGCCTAGTAAAGGGCTGTGTCTTAGTTAATTAGAATATAAATGTGAGGGAGGGACTGGAAAATAACAATGGAGAGTGCATTTTTTGTGGGATCATTACCTTTATAACTCACAAGAAGAAGAAGAACACAGCTGGAAATGAGAGTGGGGAAGCAGCAAGAGAAGTAATCCATGAGGTTTGTTTGTCTCTTTTTTATGGCTTTTGGGATTCTCTTTTCACTTTGAGTACTGGTTTAGTCGGCACAATTGCAGCATAAGTTAGAGGAAGTGTTAATGATGAAGGTGATGGCGCCTTGAGGTAATGGCATTGGAGAAGACAATGAAGGGACTGATGATGCCCTGAAAGTGGTGAGGAGTAAAGAGTGTGGAAAGAGAGTGGTGTGATTGAGGGTTCAATGCCCCATAAACAGACAAATGAGCTTATGGAAAGAACCAGAGAGGAGAAAGAAGCAGGAGAGACGGTGAATGAGCTGTTAGCTCACAGGTATAATAGAACCTCTTTCTCTCTGAGACAGACAGACTGGCCCTCTCTATCTCACTGTCGTCAGAGACATTGTAAAAGAGAGTGAATGCAGCTAAGGTCTTGTTTGGCTTTTCTAACAGCAAATTGGAGTTTTTACCTTTTTTTCTCAATGGAGACTACCTTTTATTTTTATATGTATGAAATGTTATATATACACACACACACACACACTCCACCGCAGTGTTTGGCACTGCAATTAGAAAGTAATTTAAAAAAAAATTAATATATTTTTAATATTTTTAATTTATTTTGATATATTAATATTAAAAATAATTTAAAAATAAAATTATTTTAATATATTTTAAAATAAAATTCACTTTAAATATAATCATTATCATATTTTTAAATACTCTTTGTACCCTCTACATGCATGCACCTGATACTATATATCTCGCAACGAGGTTGATATTGTTTATATATTATTTATATTTTAAAAGTTATGTAGTAATTTTTTAAAATAATTTTTATTTTGAAATATATTTAATAATAATTTTTATTTTTTAAAAATTATTTTTAATATCAGTAAATTAAAAAATTTTAAAATAAAAATAATAATTTAAAAAACCCTTTTTATTCATTAAAAAACCCCTTATTAGATAATATAATTGTAAAAAAAATCCATTCATTCATGTTCGTTTGAATTAATACTGAACGAGTTTGAATTAAATTGCTATCCTTGTTTTTTTTTCATTTAACAGTCCTTTGATGTAATTACTGTCCAAATCACGTTTGGTTTTTGGCAATATACACAATGCAGACATGTTAAGAATTAAGAGTAAATTGGATAGGAGTAGACAGCTAATAGGAGGTTTATTTTTATATTTTAAAAAATAAATAATATTTTTTAAAATATAATAAATGTTATTTTTTATTTAATTAAAATTAATTTCGTTAATATTTTTATATCACTTTAATATATTGATATTTTAAATATATTTTTAAATAAAAAAATTTAAAAATTAATAATTATCATAATACTAAACATGGGAGCCTGGGTGAAGTAAAAAGAGACGAGAACTCAAAGAACCTACGTATAACTAATAGGATTTTGTCGTTATATTTTAGAATTTTTTTTTTGAATTATGTTTAGATTTTTAATTTTCGAATCCTCCGTGTCAGCCCTTATAAATTTAAAATTTTCAATAACCTTACATATTTTTAACGGTGAATAACGTGGTTAAAGTAATTTTTTTTTGGATATGATTATGGTTATTTTTTAAATATTTTTTTATATTTTTTTATATTTAAATTATTTTATTAATAATATTTTTTATTTTTAACATCAACATATTAAAATAATTTAAAAATATAAAAAATTAATTTTAAATAAATAATTTTAAATTTTAAATTTTAAAAAAATACTTTTAAAATATAAAATTAGGTTATTCAATTTCCAGAACAAAATCACCTTTTACTGTGTTCTTGCTTCTACTAACGAAAATGCTCTTCTCCTCCAATATATTAGATCCAAGCCCCTCATTTACAGAATTTATGATTTAACACCACAGAGAAAAACATATTCTTGACTTTCTTTCAATGCCAGAATAATAAAGTTATGAAATTTTCAAAAGAAAGTCAAAAGGAAGGCCTTACAATTCAACTAGTTCAACATCCTGCAATAATAACTTTCCATTAGTTCAAAAAACTAAATTAATTAATTAACAATTTTAGTGGGATGTTCCAGTACGTGACACTCCGTAGCACAAATAACGGGGAACCGTTTGATTGGTATATATAAAGAAAGTCAAAAGGAAGCAAAACTTTTAAGATTAGAGGCCCGACCAATCACATTTTGCCACCACTTTGTTTTTCACATCAGCAACAGTGGCTTAAAACTAGAAAAAAAATACTGATTCAGTACATTGAAGCTCTGACAAGGCTGGGATGGAGACTATTTAGATGTGGGTCCATCCGATCATAAATTGCCACGACGAGTAAGATGACGTACTATTTGTGCTACGTGGTAAGTCCGGATTTGGGGTCCTCGCTTTTGTAGTGCAATTATGGGAAAAGCATAGGATTCTTATACTCTCTCGTCTTTTCATGATTTACTGTTGATTCTTCGGAAGCTGAAAAGATCATTGACTTTAATTATTTAAAAATTAAGAGTGTAATTAATTGGAACGATCCAGAAGTATACTGACAATCAATCTTGTTACCCGTCCATTCCCTCAGTCCTCGTTCTAATGGTTTTTACACAAATGTTTAAGAACATCAAATAAGAGTCCGCACGACTCCGAGTAAGCGGCCAAATTTTTTAAAATGATGCAGTAATATAAGATATATTGGGTTAAATTTATTAAAATGATATATGTAATATGAGATTAAAATAATTTGTCAAAAAAATTTAAAAAAAATCTTAAAGTTCAAGATTTAATGATTTGTTTAAAGATAAAAACAAAAATTACAATACTCAAAAAAATTTAATTTAACTTAAAATAATTTGGCAAACTCATGTAATTGAGATAAAAAAATAATTTTAAAGAAAAGACTTAGTATAAAAGATAAAAATTTAATAAAAAATTATATAAAAAAATTGAGTAAATTTCATGAATTTATAATTCGTAATATAAAAAAAATCTCAAAATAAAAATCTAATAAAAAAATTAAAATTCAATTAAAAAATTGAGTTAATTTAGGTTAATTTACCAACTTGTTTTTGGAATAATCAAAAAAATAAAAAATAATTTGATATAAAATAATAAAACTATGAAAAAAAAACTCATAGAAAATCAAGGGAAAAAACAAAACCAACCTAGGTTGAATTGATTAATCTGTTACTCGTGATATAAAATTTAAATTAAAAAATAAACTAAGAAAATGATAAAAAAAACTAAGAAAATAATTTTAAAAAATAATCAAAAAAATAAGAACTATAACTAGATGAAAATAAATAAATTAAATATTGAGGGATAAATTTTTTTAAAAAGGATAAATTAAGAAAAAAAGAAGAATATAAAAATCAAAAGAATAAGATTAAAAAATAAATCAAAAAAACAAACGTAATAAAATTGGAAAGGATGATATTGTATAAAATAATAACAATAAAAAAAGTATAAAACACAAAAATAAAGCCATAAAAAATAAAGGGATAAAATTGAATAAGAAATCAAATTGAATAAAATGCTTAAGCAAAAAATTGAAAAAACAAACTTAAAAAAAATCAAAAGTTAAATAAAGAATAATAAAAAAAGGTTAAAATCAATAAAATCAAAAACTGGGGATAAAATTATTTTTTGAAAGTCATGTAAGAATTTTTAAGGAATGAGAAAGAAAATAAAGAAGAAAATAAAAAATCATAAATGGAATAAAATCATAAACTGAGGACACAATCATTTTTTGAAAGTCATGTAAGACTTTATAGAAAATGAAAAACAAATAATAAAAAAAAATTCCACCGCAACCCAACTAAACCTCCTCTGCAAGCATGCATCACATCACTAGAAAAAGAATGACTCGTCTCCCAATGCTATCACGAAGGTAGGATTTTGGCAATTGGAAATGATCTCATCCACGACCTGAATTACGTCAAGACCATTATATGAGGATGTATTTGTCGCACATGTCATTAACTTTTAAAAAAATAATATTTAATAATGAAAAATTATTATACAACCCCTGACCAAATTAAAAGGTAACAATAAAAACATAATTAAAAGATTAAGATACAATTGAAGTTAATCTTAGTATTTTTTTTATATTCCAAATGTAGTTTTGCAATTTCACTGTTTTTAAAAACGGAGAAGATGGAAAACCCTCGTGCATGTTCATTTTATTTTTCTCTTTAGGGTTGTGATTGTAATTTAATTGTATGAATTATTTTCAAAAGACTAAAAAGCTTGTATGCGGAAGCTTGAATTTTTTTTGCTTTTAAAAGCGAAATGGTCATTTTATTGCAATAAAAATGGTGTCCGGATCAATTTTTACCCAGTTAATTTTGCAGTGACTAAGACACTTTTTGGAAAAGACTATTGTGCTTGCAATTGCATGCATAACTAGTTTTTTTTAACAGTAATTAATAATTTTTTTTAAAAAAAAAATAAATAATTACATTACTCCAAAAATTTTAAAAATATGTCTAATGACATGATAAATAACTGATGTCTTTTAATATTTTTTTAATTTAAAAAATAACAAAAGGTGAAGTATAAACATTTAAATTAAGATTATCAAAGATATTTAATATTAATTAAAATAAAACTAGCAAAGAAAAGGATTTTATTATAGCTCTCTTATTCGTTATAATAGAGTTTTTTTTTCAATTGATTTTTTTCATGTTTTTTTTTACCTTTATCATTTAAGATCAAATTTATTTTTTATTGGATTAGCTCACTCTTATAACATAGTTACAAGCTTGGTTGGTTGATCCAGTTAATTCGGAGTTTTTTTCTTAGCTCATCCTCCTCAATTTTATCATTTTAATATTGAGTTGATTGGGTCTTAAGTTTCATAGTTTATTTTGGTTTGTTTTCTATCAGATTATCCCAACCTTATGAGCGGAGAATAGTGTTTTTCAAATTAACTCCAGTTGACTCGGGTTGTTTTTTATGTTCTTTTTTAATAGTTTTTTTTTCAATTTCATCATTCAATGTTATGTTAATTGAGAATTGAGTTTTATAATTTATATTGATTTGATTTTTATGAGATTATTTTAATCTCATGTCCAAGGTCATAAGTTTGGCAAGTTAACTTATGTTAAATTTGATCGTCTTTTTATTTTTTTTCCGCGAAATCAGTCTGGTCTCATGACCCGAGTCACGATTCCTCCAACATTAAATTTACTTTTTATTAGGTTATCTCAATATCATAACTCTGCCCGCGAGTTTAGCAGGTCAACTCGATTGACCTGAGTTTTTTATTTTTTTTAATTGACTCCTACAATTTTATTCTTTAATACTAGGTTGATTAGGAATTGGGTTTCATGGTTTATTTTATTTTTAATTTTATCATATTATCTCGACCTCGTGACTTGAAAATAATGCCTAACATGCTAGCCCAGGCTAACTCATATTGTTTTTTATGTCTTTTTTTAATTGAATCTTTTTAAAATTTCATTATT